TCTCCCTTCCACAGTAGACGAGGGTTTGTTTAGGGGTAGGTGTATGTATTTTTGTTTGCTTGTTCTTTACCTCCCCTTTCACCAGCAGGGAGGAAGACCAGATTCTTGTTGGAGAGGAGATATAAGAGGAGAAGGGGGACCAAAATTTGCTTAGCTACAAAATCTATTAGCAGAAAGCACTGAAAATGATGATTATTCTTCAAGAGTGTTTGAAGAGTTAAATAATTTCCTTTAAAAATCTTTTAAGTATTTTATCATTTATTTTTAAGAGCGTAAGCGCTTGTTAACCTTGTACCAAGTTTGATGAAGACTGTTCTATCTACTCCTTTTCCCTGGGAAGGAGTCCTCTGCAGCCCTCCCTTCCAAACACCCCCATTTCTCCCATTTACACCCTCCATTACTGAGGCATTTTTCATTGCAGTCACCACATTCTTGCCAGGACAGCCTTTGAAGTCTATCAGGACTGCTTCTTAACCTGACAGGAGGCTAGTGTGAAGCGATGCAGAGAACCTCTCCCACTCCCCAAAGCTGAGCATGCTGTCTCCACAGCACTCTGAGCCTCTTCGGAGAGTCAGACTGGGTACATCTAATTTTGCTGTGCCATCTGTTCTTTTTTATATGGAGTTTGTTGAAGTTTTTCACCATTTGGCTGTTGTCTATAATAGAGTGGCAGGTTGAAATACACCGCCTTCTATTTTCCCCTTGGGATAGGGGGAGGCTTCCCCAGCTACAAGATTCTTGACGTTTGGTAATACTTGATGTGCTGACAATGAGTGTTACCAATTTTTCAAATTGGTCAGAAAAATTAAAATATAACAAGACCTGAAGTGTTGTGAAAAAAGATTCTAACAGGCTGATAGTTAGAGACAAGGTTCCCTGTTACTGCTTGCTTCCCTTGATAACTTGCAGTGGGAGGATGAATTGGTAAAAACAGCACTGACTGGAATGCAATTAAGACTTCTTTGTTAATTAAATGGACAAAGGAGATTCGTGACATTTGCATTGGTTGATGGTTTCTTTGTGGTAGATGAAGTCGCTTGCCGGATGGCTGATGTTGACATATTCAAGTTGATTTCCTTTGGTTTCCTGACTAGGAATGTAGCATAAGAATGTTGCTGCCTCAGATGTCTTCATGGGATACGTTTCCATTGTATCTTAATTCACAATCTTTTGAATAACTTCCATATTGACTTGTGCGTGTATAACTGCAGAGATGCAAGGACTGAGATTTCCTTACATGTGTGGTATTCTTGGACACTCCACATGTATTTGCCTTTCTCAGTGCACAGATGGGATAGTCAATATCTGCCCTGCTTTAATTGAATGATTAACAGTAAATAGCTGACTTAGGAAGCATATTTTCTTTTCAATTCTAGTGGTGGTTACATTATCATTTCTCTTGAATGATGGTGAGTCATGTATCTGCCTGCCAGTTTGACAAAACATAGCATAAGTAATGTAATTAGGAAGGGAGCTTATCAAAACATTTGTGCACATTGGGCCAAATCCCAAGATGTGCTGAGCACCCATAGCTCCCATTGGAGTTGTTGGTAATTATGGGTGCTGAGAGCTGCTCAGTACAAATTGTAGGTTGTATAGTTTGTGTTTCATTGTTGACTTCAGGTTCCATTTGATGCAGAAAAAGTTTCTGCAAGTGGTGATAGCTTGAATATTAAAACCCTTCTCATCTGTAAATGTGACATTCTCAAAGAGAATTTTCTTTTATTTTTGGAGTCAGGAGGGAGAGGAGTGTGCAGCTTTTAGCCATGTGACTGATGTTCGTTCTGCTTATCTGACTTTTGGGACCAGTTCTGATGGCACACAGGAGCACAATCAAAGGATGTTTTGCTTTCATCACAAAGGGAAGAAATAAGAGGATACAAATTCCAGACCAATTGGCAGGCCATATCCTTCTTTTCCAGTGTTTGTATGGTATCCAACTTTTAGTTGGATGTAATATTCTCAAAATGGGCTCCTTCCCTGAAACTTTATTGTAACTAGGGCTCTTGATTAATCGTAGTTAACTCACATGATTAACTCAAAAAATTACCTGCGATTAAAAAAATTAATTGTGATTAATCGCACTGTTAAACAATAGAATATAAATTGAAATTTATTATTATTATTGAAATATTTTGGATGCTTTTCTACATTTTCAAATATGTTGGTTTTTATTACAACACAGAATACAAAGCGTACTGTGCTCACTTTATATTATTATTTTTATTACAAATATTTGCACTGTAAAAATTATAAACAAAAGAAATAGAAATAGAATTTTTCAGTTCACCTCATACAGGTACTGTAATGCAATCTCTTTATTGTGAAAGTGTAACCTACAAATGTAGATTATTTTTTTTTGGTTACATAACTCCATTCAAAAACAAAACAATTAAAAACTTTAGATCCTACAAGTCCACTCAATCCTACTTCTTGTTCATCCAATTGCTAAAACAAACAAGTTTGTTTACATTTATGGGAGATACTGCTGACTGCTTCGTATTTACGATGTCCCCTGAAAGTGAGAACAGGTGTTTGCATGGCACTGTTGTAGCCAGCATCGCAAGATATTTACATGCCAGATGCACTAATCTTGCGATGCTGGCTACAACAGTGCCATGTGAACGTCCGTTCTCACTTTCAGGTGACATTGTAAACAAGACATGGGCAGCATTATCTCCTGCAAATTGTAACCAAACTTGTTTATCTGAGCGATTGGCTGAAGTAGGACTGAGTGGACTTGTAGGTTCTAAAGTTTTACATTATTTTATTTTTGAATGCAGTTATTTTTTGTACATAATTCTACGTTTGTAAGTTCAACTTTCATGATAAAGAGATTGCACTACAGTGCTTGTATTAGGTGAATTGAAAAATACTATTTCTTTTGTTTTTTACAGTGCAAATATTTGTAATAAAAAATAAAGATAAAGTGAGCACTGTACACTTGTATTCTGTGTTGTAATTGAAATTAAATATATATGAAAATGAAATCATCCAAAAATATTTAAATGGTATTCTATTATTGTTTAACAGCGCGACTAATTGCGCACTTAACTTTTTTAATTGCTTGACAGTCCTAATTGTAACCTTTTTTAAAAAAAATCTTATTATTTCAAATTTAAATTGTGGTTACACCCTTTGCCCCTAAATACAATCAGGTCATGTTGTGCTAACAGTAAATGCTGTATAAATATATGAGAAGGCATAGTCATTGCACTGAAAAAAAAATCTTAAAACTCAAAAGACAAAATACATGTGAAGAAGAGGAGGGCAGAGTACTCAAGCAAACTGATCGGGGTGAAAAATCCCATGAAAGACATTATGTATGTTTCTACTTCATGCCTGACTGCTCTATTTTCCTTGTCTTTTCCTGTATTTTTTTTGGTGGGAGTTTTGATCTTTGCCTATGTATTTGTTCTGTTAATTTTAGCTGTCTCTCATTTAATTTTATCTTACTTAATTTTTTTATTGTTCTTTCTTCCTTTATTATTTGCCTGAGGTATTCTATTTACCGTTTCTCTACAGCACCAATTAGTATAATGAGCATTTTATACAGCAATTAAGGGGACAGTCCCTCCCCTCAGCAGGTAATTAGCAGAGGCCCTGATCCTGCAAAGGCATCTGGCCCCACCCATGCAGAATTCCCCTCAAGTCTGGTGTGCATATAGGGATGTTTTAGTTGCTTCCCTGCTTAAGGCTTGGTCTACACTAGCAACTTATGTCAGTATAACTATGTCGCTCTGAGGTGTGGATTTTTCACACCCCTGAGTGACACTTATACCAACCTAACTCCTGATGTAGACGGCACCATGTCAACGTGAGGGCTTCTCCTGTTGACCTAGCTACCGTTTCTCGCAGAGGTGAAGTACCTATGCTGACAGGGAAGCCTGCCCAAGGGTTTAAGTGGGATTTTCTCTGAAGCCTATAGTGGTGCTGCTGCTGCTGCATCGGTGTAGCTACGTTGCTGCCGCCCTTTAAGTGTAGACAAGCCCTTACTGTAGACAAGCAAGTATTAGGGCCATACGTGGTGTGTGTTTTGTATTACCACAGGTGCTATGTATACATTCAGCATAACACAAGTAGTTAAAATGTTGAGGGAGCCAAAGGCCACGAGAAGTTACTTATTCGAAGATCATCAAAGAGTCCTGTGGCACATAGACTAACAGACATATTGGAGCATGAGCTTTCGTGGGTGAATACCCACTTCGTCGGATGCATGGGT